CACAGGGATTTCGTCCGATCCGAAAGACGGATTTTCTAAGGGTCATCATAGAATATAGCTAAAAATAACGCTCATAAAATTTGCAACAAATTAGGGGATTTTTCCAGTCGAAGTGCAATGCAGATTCGTCACCCTCAGTTCGATAGGATTTTGTAGGAACGTCGAATCCGATAGGATCCCATCGGTTCCGTTATCGGATTTGTCGACCTCGGACGGCGAAATGTGGAATGTTCTGGATCAATCCAGTATTACGTATATTTAATGAGTATTTCTGGAGCGTTCTGGAAGTTCCTAAAATGTTCTTTAACGCTCATCATGACGTCATGTACGATCTACAATATTCTCGAATGTTTTATGCTAGGCCATTGAGGGGTATAAAAACTCATGTGACGGTTGCAACCAGATTACTCCGAGCTATCAGTGATGACGGACTGAGATCCCTGTCTCGCCAGAAAAGTTGATATTGAATTAATCAATCAGTTCAATGGAAACGATAATGCGAAGATAGGTCATCTTTTTTAGAGGACTTATCGATAATGCGCCAATCAGGTATCATTGTATCTGACCAATAAAAAAATATGTTGCGCCTCGCATATGTGTATATTTTTTAACGCGATCAATGTAAATGAACACGTCTGCTATGCTCCGGATTAAAGACAAGACGAATATAGTTTTCTCGAACGACTGTAAGCCACATTTGACGAAGCACAATAGAAATGAGCACTACTCGACGTTAAATATATTATGTGTTTATCACATACAACATAGGGTGTAAGAGCGAGGACGCTGTAGGTTAGAAAAAATAGTACTAAAAATCAGTTGTCTTCTTCCTTTATTTACGGTGAAACCACAGCTCGGACATAATTCATAATATTTGTTTTACACGAGTCTTTAAGATTATTATATTTCACAACGCGGAATTCCTGAAAAAACCGACAATCCGTAGTTGATAAACCGAAATCTATTTCATATATCGTATGAACATTTTTGATATTTTCAGATTATTATTATACGATACACTCGATGTATTAATATATTCTATCTATACGCTATCGACATCTTGAAATGCATATAAACTCATCATCTTATACACTCCCGAGATCTATAAAAGAGGTTAATTTCTTTTTTGATTGGTGGCTTACATATTCGTGTGAGTGATCATTGACTTAAAAAAAGATTAATTCTCTTCAATTTTTGCTGTTAAAAGGGTCTTACCAGCAGACTTCACCATGGATCGCCAATGTGAACAGTCAGTGCCAGCAGCCCTTCATCGTGAAGCCAATGATACGGACATAGCCGATACTCCTAATGAATCTGTAGTTGTAACCTCGGATGAGAAATCCATTGTAAAAACACTTAGGAGATCGGGAAGGATTCGACAACGACGTGCAGAAGAAACAGCAGAAAAGAGAAGGCAACGACTGCAGAGTGATGCTGCGAGACATCGTTCACAGTATGAACAACAGTCAGAAGAAAAGAAGCAAGAAAGGCGACGACGTGGACAAGAAACTGATGGTGAACGACGTGAGCGACAAACGAACAACGCTCTTCGTCAACGGCTTCGTCGACAGCAAGCCTCATCTTTTATGCGGTAGCACTTAGCGATGAGCTTCCAGCCGAAAATTATAAAGGGAAAATGGATATTACCTGTCAACACTGCAGTGCCAAACACTTCCAGGATGAATGCACATCCGACAGACACAATGAGTTTAAGCAGTGCTGTCATTACGGAACTGCTGAACTTCCTGAGCTTCGTCCATATCCAGATGAAATTAAAGTTCTTCTACAAGGCACCGATTTTGAATCGAGAAATTTTCGAGAAAACATCAGAAGTTACAATAGTGCGTTTGCATTCGTATCTATGGGAGCTCAAATTGATTTACCAAGAGGTTTTGGACCTTATTGTTTTCGCATTCATGGACAAATCTATCATCGGATTGGTGCACTACATCCCGACCCTGATCAGAGAGCTCAATTTGGACAACTTTACATTTTAGGTTCATCGTTAGCTTTACAAGAACGAATGGGAAACGTTGCCAATGAAAATTGCAATGAAACAACAATGGACAGTGTTAGTCCCTTTGCTGATGCGTTCAAGATGATGTATGAAGTTGAACAAGAAGAAATTGATCGAGCCAAGAGAGAAAAACGTGCATCATCTCCACTTCGGATGATTTTTGATATTAATCATGGAAATCATGATCGTCGACCATATAATCTTCCAAGAGCAAACGAAGTTGCTGCAGTTTTCGTAGGCGAAGATGGAGAAGTTCCAACTTATCGTCATATTGCTATTCATCCACGTGGTCGAGATGTTCAGACTATTTCAATCCTACATCCACACTGTGATCCAATGACTTATCCTCTTCTATTTCCTCGAGGAGATGAAGGATGGCATCCAGAATTAGAGAAAACCGATCAATCACGACGCTGAAAGAGAGTGTCGATGCTTCAGTTCTATAGCTATCGACTAGCTATTCGTTCAAGTTTTAGTGCCATCCACTATAGAGGAAAATTATTCCAACAGTACATTGTTGATGCTTATGTGAAAACTGAACAAAATCGACTTGCATTCCATCGACAAAATCAAAAAGTTCTTCGCGTGGAATTGTACCAAGGTCTAATGGATCATTTGGCAAATGAAGCGGTGACACAAGATTTAAGACCTGGGCGTATTGTAATTCTTCCATCAAGTTTTCAAGGAAGCCCAAGAGCAATGCAACAAAACTACCAAGATGCAATGGCAATTGTTCGAAAATACGGAAAGTCCGACTTATTCATCACATTTACCTGTAATCCAACATGGAGAGAAATCCACGAGCAACTTCTTCCCGGCCAAATGCCTGCTGATAGACCTGATCTAATCACCAGAGTGTTTAAGCTAAAACTTAATCAAATTATTGATGATATCTTTAAAAGACATATATTAGGACGAACAATAGCCAATGTCTTCGTAATCGAATTTCAAAAACGTGGCTTACCGCACTGTCACATGCTTATTATTTTGGCTAACGAAGATAAACCAAAGGATGAAGATCACATGGATCATATCGTCTGTAGTGAAATACCAAACCCTGTTCAATTTCCAGAATTATATGAATGTGTAAAAAGGCATATGATTCACGGACCATGCGGCATAGTGAACCCACATTCTTCTTGCATGGAGGATGGTAAATGCTCAAAGGAATTTCCAAAAGATTTTCAAAATCGTACTTTAGCAAATAAGGATGGATATCCACGGTATCGTAGAAGAAATAATGGATATACTATGACTATTGGCAAATATGAAGTTGATAACAGATGGATAGTACCATACAATCCACATTTGCTAATGAAATACAACGCTCACATTAATGTCGAAGTTTGTGCAACTGTCAAAAGTATTAAATATTTATTCAAGTACATTTACAAGGGCCACGATTGTGCTAATATTAAATTACAACGACCGGTTCAAGAAGATGCAAGCGTCTCTGCTGAAGTAACTTTGGAATGGGATGAAATTAAAACACATCTTAATGCAAGATATGTAAGTGCACCTGAAGCAGCATGGAGACTTTTTGAATTTCCATTGCATGACAAGTCTCATGCTATTATTCGATTAGCTGTGCATCTTCCAAACCAACAACCAGTTTACTTTGCTGAGGGAAACGAACAACGAGCATTAGAAATAGCTACTACAAAAGACACAACACTTACCGCATGGTTTAAACTAAATTCGAAAAATCAAGATGCTCGACAATACCTTTACCATGATATTCCACAGTATTTTGTTTTTGAACGTAATGGAATGTGGAAGCGTCGATTACAAGGTGACAACATTATCGGTAGGATGTATTCTGTTAGTCCCAGTGATATCGAGCGTTATCATCTTCGGTTAGTACTGTTGAATACTCCGGGTGCCTCAAGTTTTGATGATTTGAAATCAATAGATGGCCAAGTTTGTGAAATATTCATGCAAGCAGCAAAACTACGAGGTCTACTATGTGATGACACTGAATATGAGAGGTGCATGTCGGAAGCCGTTATCTTTCAGATGCCACAACAACTAAGAATACTTTTTTGTGTGATACTTTTATACTGTAAACCGACAAAACCTGTTGATCTCTGGAATTTGTTTAAAGCACATATGGCCGAGGACTTCATGCAACAAGTGGATGTCGAGACAGCAGAAGCAATGGCATTTTTCGCAATCGATGAGAAGCTGAAAGGACAAGGTCGAAGCTGCGGTGATTTTGATATACTACCACCAACATCTCGTAATCATGCATTCAAATCAAAAACCATCAATAAAGAAGAAGAACTTCGAATAGGACAAGACATGTACGCAATGTTGAATCAAGATCAACGTTCAATAGCAGATACAATCATTGAAAGTAGTCATAAGCAAACAATCACTTCCGACGACTCATGTTTCTTTATCGATGGTCCGGGAGGTACAGGAAAAACTTACGTATACAACGCTCTTTGCCATTTATTCATGGCAAAAGGTGTCCATGTCATGAGAGTTGCATGGACAGGAATTGCTGCAAGTTTGTTGTCTGATGGGAGAACGGTACATAGTCGTTTCAAACTTCCTGTACCTATCTTAGAAACATCCACATCAAGTATTAGACCAAACAGTAAGGAAGCTGACGAGATAAAGAAAACTCAAGTTTTTATCTGGGATGAAGCACCAATGGCTCCACGTTTCGCTCTCGACGCAGTTGATATTTTGCTGAGAGATATAATGAACATTGATACGCCTTTTGCTGGGAAAATTATGATACTCGGCGGAGATTTCCGACAAGTTCTTCCCGTCATTCGATTTGCAAACAGATCGGACTTAATTGGAGCAAGTCTCAAAAGTTCTCATCTTTGGTCTTTCTTCAAGATCATGCATTTACACCAGAATATGAGAACAGGACCAGGTGAACAAGAGTTCTCAGAATGGCTGATTAAACTCGGCAACGGTGAATTAATATCAAACGGCAACGATGAAATTGAATTGCCCAGCTCCTGTATACTAAATGGTAATTTGGTCGACGAGATCTTTGGACGAGAGATTTCTATAGAAGATATTCCAACTCTATGCAACAGGACGATTCTCTGTCCGAAGAATGAACATTCTCTCTTGGTTAATGAAGAAGTTCTTCAACGTTTATCAGGAATGGAAAAACTGTACACGAGTATAGATGAAGTAGGATGCGAAGATGGTGAGGATGCCACCAACTATCCTACGGAATTTTTGAACAGTCTTACACCATCAGGAATGCCTCCTCATAAACTTAAACTAAAGATTGGTGCAATTGTGATGCTTCTTCGTAATCTCGATGTTTCTCAAGATTTATGCAATGGAATTCGACTCATTGTACGACGCTTACAAAACTACACAATTGATTGTGAAGTAGTAACTGGGTCTAACAAAGGAAATCGAGTTTTAATACCACGAATCACTTTAACGCCATCTGATGCATTTTTACCTTTTAAATTGCGTAGACATCAATTTCCTGTTCGGCTCTCATTTGCTATGACAATAAACAAATCACAAGGGCAAACTTTTGATCGATTAGGGCTCCTCCTACCACAGCCAGTTTTTAGTCATGGGCAACTATACGTTGCGTTTTCACGAGTTCGTTCGTTGAAGTCTGTCAAGGTACAACTCATCAAGGAAGAAAATAACGATGAAGGATATAGAACTAAAAACATTGTTTTCAAAGAAATTTTATAGATTTCTGATTTTAAAATAAAAAGTAAAAGCTGTAAATGAATTGCTTTATTGTAGAGGAGATTAAAGGTTCAGTTATGTTCCTGAAATTCCCTTGATTCTAAAGCAAACTCGTGTTTTAGACGATAAAAAAAGCTACCGTGCAGTATGCACGGGTTCTCGCTAGTTCTTACAATAAAGAAGCATCAAGAAATATACGATTTATCAAAGTTCATACCGCTGCTACCTTACACAACCTTTCGTATTGATGAACTCATCGCTGAAGTTACAGCAACAACCAAATTCACAATAGTTGTTCATGATCTTTTAACAAAAAATAGATTGTCAATTCATACAGAATTTGTACGAGACTTTCAATCATTCATTCTTATCGTAGATATCGCTCCACAATGTGCGACATTATTTACTGAAATCAATCGATTATTGCGAGTTATTTTTAATTCATATAAAACTATTCAAATTTGGAATGATATCACTGAAACTTTATTACATTACGTACAATTGCATTGTTTCTTGTATGACCATGACATTAACAATGTCAGCTTATTTTACATTGATGAAGCCTTTAAATCATGGTACAATAACGTGTTTAGCCATATTGAAGACTGTTCAAATAGTTAATTACAATGATATTGATGGTCCATTATGTTCATGTTCTCATCGACCGATAAAAAACTCAACTGATAAGTAGCCTCTCGCATTGACCTTGGCATACACATTCAATGAATATTTCGATATTTCATATAATAACTTTAATGTTTGCTTATCTATAACCAAACTCTCAACTGCAATCGAACAGAACTGGACTCGTCAACAAGTGAAGGACTACAAGAAGAAGTATCATATTGATCAGTAGCTTAAAGTCAATTAATTTCTTTCCAGACAGCCATGTTACTTTTGATCTATTTATTATCTTTTAGAATCGATAAAGACAAACATTCAAATGAAAATCACCAAGTCATGAACTTAATAAAATAGCTCCTACTCTTTTCGTTTTGCTTTATTGCCTGTTGTTTTCTGCAGTTCCATATTTACTAATAATAATCGTCATTATTCTTTCTTCATTTTCATTTTAGATATACAGCCCTGAAGAGTACTATCTTGTAAAAGATACGAAACGCGTCGTTGAACAAATTCTGCATTTTTCCATATATTTACAAAGCACATTACTTCAAGATCTTCATTCATTCATTCAGACAAAAGAACAACATCGATTGCTGAAAAGCAAGAGTTGGATATAAGCAGATTACACTTGTCTTTTAGTCAAGAGATAGGTTTGATCTGTTCTCAGCTGGTTTACACTTAATATTATCTCCGGCATCAAATTATATTTTGAATTGATTTCTTCTGATTTGATCCAATACAAGTCTCAACTTATTCAACGATATATATCAAGAATGAATAATAATCAAGTACCATTACAGCAACAACAACAACAACAACAGGCACCACCACAATTACCTTTAGGTAGTGGGGGGGTTTATGGGGGCAATCAATGTAGCGTTCAAAATAACAGCAATCAATACGGTTATCGAAATAGAAGCAACCGACATTTCTATTCGAATCAAAATACAAAATTATAATAATCGTCCTCGTCGTCAAAAAAATTCTTTCTTCAATCGAAATTTCATGCAACAACAGCCTTACTTTAACAATGTTAATTATAACAATGATG